GTGTGTTTATGAGTGTGTGTCCATGTGTGTGCTTGCATGTGCTCACTTGTATATGAGTGTGCGTGTGTGTGTGTGCATGCGTGCACGTGCGTGTGTGCATGCATGTGCATCTTTGTATCAGTGTATATATTTGAGAGTATGTGCGTGCGTGCGTGCATGCATGTGCATCTGTGTATGGGTGTGTATGTTTATGAGAGTGTGTGTGCGCATGTATGTGCGCATGTATTAGTGTGCGTTTGCATGTGCTCACTTGTATGAGAGTGTGTCCGTGTGTGTGCGTGCGTTCAGGCCAGCAGTGGGCCGTCTTCATGGCAGCGGTGTGTTTGGTTTGCTCTTATTATCAGTGTAATGAGGTTTAATGAGTTGAGGACTGAAGCGCTGCAGGAGCGAGAGCAGCATCACTGACATCAGCCCAGAGCACAAACTAAACAACACACACACACACACACACACACACACACACTTCTGCTCTCTTATTTCTGCAATTATACTATTCATTCCTGAAGCATGTATCATCACAGCATTCTCATCATATCGATCTTAGACACAAACAACGTTACTCTAACAGGTATAATAACCACAAAACACTATTATTGATCATTCATTTTCAGAGAATTAATGTTTTAAAACAATGTAAATTACTATATAGAGTAGATCCTAATTAATGCATTCAAATCAAAGGTGTGAAATGGCTATATATGTTGCTTAATAAATAGCTGAACTCTATTAGTTCTGTAACTAATAAACGTGTAAACGTGCAGAAATCCAGTCTCTCCATTAAACAACACTTGGGAAATATCTGTTCGAGCATTAGCAGGGCGAATAAAGTGTGTTTACATGCGTTGCTTTTCTGGAGTGCTGATTTAATAGTCAGCCTGCGCTGTAAATCGTGACGATGGGCAGTTGCACAAGTCAGAAATGTGTGTTTTACATGTGTCTATCTGAGGTGGGAGAACAGCGCCAGATGTGCCGACTGCATTTATGGATCGTCGGCATCTTTGTTTCTTTATCACTAATTGGATGTTAGGATTGCGGGCTGATGGGGAGAGCGTGCGGGAATGATGGAGTGCGGAGAGTAATAGAGGCATTTGCACAGTAACTGCGGCCGTAAGTCTCTCTGCATACTGAAAAAGCTGTCATTTCTACATGATTTCTATTGCCACACAAACACAAACGGCCTGTCTGTCACGGCTCCCAGTGATAAGCTGGCACATACATCAGCAGACGCATGCATCACTGACACAGGCTGCTCGCGGAGGACGCTTTATTCACACACACACACACACACACTTTTACAGACATCCGGAAAGCACACAGTTTGTAGTTTTAACCTGATGCATGAATTATTACATAGTACACACTGTGTTTCTTTTTACTTTTTTAAAGAAAAGTTTGTTCATTTAAATTATGCAATGCTTAATTTTTAGGAAAATGTTTTGTTTTGTATTTAAATTATGTAATGTTTATTTTTAGGAAAATGTTCTGTTAAGATTTTCATTTAAATTACGCAATGTTTAATTTTTATTCAAATTTTTATTTGAACATTTTTTTATTTCAATTTTGCAATGTTTTATTTTTAGGAAAATATTGTGTTTTGTTTTTATTTAAATTATGCAATGTTTTTTGTTTTTTATTTAAATTATGCAATGTTTATTTTAAGGAAAATGTTCTGTTCTGTTTTTTATTTAAATGATGCAATGTTTAATTTTTTATTCAAAATTTTATTTGAAATTTTTTTATTTAAATTTAGCAATGTTTATTTTAAGGAAGTGTTCAGTTTTTTATTTAAATTATGCAAAGTTTGATTTTAGAAAAATGTTCTGTTTTGTTTTTTATTTAAATTATGCAATGTTTAATTTTTCTTAAAAATTTTATTTGAAATTGTTTTATTTAAAGTTTGCAATGTTCATTTTTTTTTAA